TTCACGGGTGAAAGTTGCCGATTTGTAGTTTACACCGATGGAGCCTTCGAGGATGGCAGAGCTACATGGGGGGCGCTGGTGTGGGATAAAGAGAAGCAGTTTCCTTCTATGTTTTGGGGAGTTGTTCCCGATGTGCTGTTGCAGTTTTGGCTTGCGAATGCTGGATCGCAAGTCATTTGTGAGATCGAACTCTTTGCTCATTTTCTTGTACGATGGATTTACCGGCATGATTTTGACAATGAAATGGGAATTTCTTTTATCGACAATGAAGCAGCTAGATACTCGCTTGTCAAATATAGTAGCCCATCTCCCTGCATGAGAGCCATGATCTACGGGCTGAGTCTTTTGGACGCTGTGCACCCATTTGGAGCTTGGCACGAGCGAGTGCCGTCGCCGAGCAACCCTGCAGACCTCCCGTCGAGGGGCGAGATCCAGAAAGCCATAGCGATGTTTGGTGCCGAGCCATTGGGTGATATAGTGCTTCCTGATTCCATACTTTCTTTTCTGATGTCCGTCAAGTTTGACCAACGGCTGGCAAAGAACGCTTGCGCACACTTCATAAGGCGACCACCAGGAACTTTCTAAACTGGGGGAGGAAACCAAGTCCTGGAGAACCTGACTGGCGTACCAGCAGGAAACAATCGAAGGATGACACCCCCGACAACGAGTTTGGAAAAAGAGTGGCGCGATTTCAGTTGTGCATGTTGTCCTTGCAAGTGAAGCCGTTATTTTTATTTTGAAAATAAGACAAACAAAAGCGAGCGCGTGAAGGAGTGAGCTAAGTAAACGTTTGGCGTCAACTTGTTGTTGCCTCTGTTTACTTTTGCTCGGTGAGCTTTCTTGCGAACGCACTCCTTCCGCGCCACGCTTCTTGATGCTCTTCCTCTGCGAGGGTTCGTGTTTTTGTTTTGGTTCTGCTCCCTGCTTGCGACGCGTTCCCTCTCTTCGCATCTCGCTCCTCGCGTCCTGCTGCCTTGCCGTCTGAATATATATATATATATATTGATCGATTGCCAGTGCGTTGTCTGAGACAGCGACTTGTTCTGGCTGATTGAGGAACTTTATTTTCTGACGTTTCTCCGTTATTTGGTCAACAGTTTAACCTGAACTAAACAACAACTCTGTGACTTGGTTTGAAATTCTCACTTGTGAATTTTTCGATTCAAGGGTGGGTGAGGAGGGTTTCCTGCTAAATTGCAGGATGTTGAATTTTTGATCCCGCCCTCACTTCGTTCCCAACCCCCCAAACCAAGTCCTGGAGAACCTGACTGGCGTACCAGCAGGAAACAATCGAAGGATGACACCCCCGACAACGAGTTTGGAAAAAGAGTGGCGCGATTTCAGTTGTGCATGTTGTCCTTGCAAGTGAAGCCGTTATTTTTATTTTGAAAATAAGACAAACAAAAGCGAGCGCGTGAAGGAGTGAGCTAAGTAAACTTCCTTGTTTATTTCGATAGGTTCGTTTTTATTTGTTTGTTTCTGTGAATTTTGATTTGTTTCTCTGAGTCTGAGCCCCTTGTATTTTCTTCCCTAGCAAAGACACATCAAGTAGTTAAGTTGAAGCGCCGCCCTGAATGATGACAAAATGCGTTTGTTGGATATGTAAATTGGAGAGAAGCTTTGAAACATATACATTACTTACTTGCCAGCATTGAGAGCAGCATTTTCGTTCGTTCACTTGTTGCTTCTTTGGTTGTTAGCCATCATTGAAGGCGGCGGTGTCACTTAATTACTTACTGTTCGTCTGCTTCGTGTTGCAAAGAAGTCCGTAGCCCATGTTTTCTATTTACATTGCATGGACATATCGTGAAGCTGGTAACGGCTTCAAATTTCACCCGGATTCTTACCAATGAAAACGTGTCACCCGATAGTAGTTGCAGTTGCCGTACGCTGGTGCTGTGCACCACAATGCTAAAAAACTTTCCCAGACCTAGTTTTTTAGATTGCACCAGGGCAGCGTAAAGCCGTTAAATCGTAAAGTTCAATTTTCTTCAAAAAAACTCTTTGATGTTTTAAAAAAATCCCAACTTTACCACTTTATGATTTTATGATTTAATGATGCGATTTTCAATCTAAAATGTAAAACGAAAGGTATAGCCACGAACTTTTTCGCAAGACTAGGAAGGGTGTTTTGGGCTTGTTCCCATTTCATCCTTTTCCAATGGATGCATATTTCAATCAGCAACATGACAAGAAGAATGTCAAGACTGTCTATATCCGTGTCAGGTCTAAAAAACATGAAGTCAAACCCCCTCTTTAAAGTCATTTTCACCTTGGTTCGCGGCAATGCTTGGAAAGCAGGCACGTATGGAAACATGGATGTTGATAAACAGGACAAGATGGACGACAGGCAGCATCCATCAATCGATTTGCATGTGCTATCACCTTGGGACATGTCAAGAACCACCACTGGTTGCTTCTTGCGCTGGAAACCTTCATGACAGACATGCTCCCAAACTGCGGAATTTTGTTCATAGTCAATGACATGTTTGAAGCCAAGCGGTGGTGTTGAAAATGAAGCAAAATGTGGCTTCATCTATTGAAAATTCGACAGAAGCGCAACCAAAAATGGAAGCAGAAAATGGCATCAGGCATTCACCGGCAAGCAGCGCAAAGTCTACTCAATAGCCTTTGTTTTCTCATTGCTACGCTGCAGTCGCATACGCGCGGAGTTTAAGAAAACGTTGTCGTCGTCACTGCTGGCAGGCAATCGTGCCTTCAGATAAAGCAGCTTCCCTGAAATACTTTGAACAGAAAAACCGTAACCAGGAAAAACCTTGAAAGCACACTTCAATAAATGTTCTTTTTGATGGTGGGCGCCGTCACTTTTGTTCTTCAGCACTGATGAACCAGTTCAAATCGGCGTTCCTCAAGACCCCTAAAATTTTCATCCATTGGAAAAGGATGAAATGGGAACAAACCCAAAACACCCTTCCTAGTCTTGCGAAAAAGTTCGTGGCTATTTTTAAATTCCGCCCTCTCTCAATTACCTTTCGTTTTACATTTTAGATTGAAAATCGCATCATTAAATCATAAAATCATAAAGTGGTAAAGTTGGGATTTTTTAAAACATCAAAGAGTTTTTTTGAAGAAAATTGAGCTTTACGATTTAACGGCTTTACGCTGCCCTGGTGCAATCTAAAAAACTAGGTCTGGGAAAGCTTTTTAGCATTGTGGTGCGCAGCACCAGCGTACGGCAACTGCAACTACTATCGGGTGACACGTTTTCATTGGTAAGAATCCGGGTGAAATTTGAAGCTATTTTCATCGCTTTGTTATTTCCCTGAACCTCTTTTTGTTTCCCAGAGTTGATGATGATGAGTTTGACTACTTTTTCCTCTTGCTGCTGCTATGAATTTTGGCTACCTTTTCCTCCTGCCGCTGCAGAGGCTTTTGCTGTTGCTGCTGCTGGTCCCCGGATGGGAAAACACCATGGCAGTGAAGGACGGAGAAGCCCCAAAATTGCACCCCGAAAATGCTTAACGTAACTTCTGAAACCCGTAGGAAATGGTGGTTTTGGCTGTTTTTTTCCTGTTGCCGCTGCTATGAATTTTGGCTACCTTTTCCTACTGCCGCTGCAGAGGCTTTTGCTGCTGCTGCTGCTGGTCCCCGGATGGGAAAACACCATGGCAGTGAAGGACGGAGAAATACGGAGAAACCCCAAAATCAGAGGCTTTTGCTGCTGCTGCTGCTGTTGCTGGTCCCCGGATGGGAAAACACCATGGCAGTGAAGGACGGAGAAACTCCAAAATTGCACCCCGAAAATGCCTAATGTAACGTCTGAAACCCATAGAAAATGATGATTTTGGCTGCTTTTTCATCTTGCTGCTGCTTTGAACATTGGCTACCTTTTCCTCCTGCTGCTGCAGAGGCTTTTGCTGCTGCTCTGGTTGCTGCTGCAGCTCCCGGCAACAACAACCAGACATCTTTTGATGGACTATACTAGATGTGCTGCCGTTGCTGCTGCTGCTGCTGGACTGGTAGTAAGGGTCAATTTTTTTTTTCCCTGGCGCGTTCCCCCCTTGCGTCTGCCGGGGTCGGCGGATATAGCTATTACGTAACGATGAGACACAACCACTATCAGGGTCAGGAGATGAGACCGGAGATGTCAATAATGCTGCAGGCTCATGAGAGGTTTGTTGAGGTGGCCACCAGTTGAATCAGCTGCTACGGTGCTCAAATTTTGGCTGAGCCCGGGTCTTTCGTCCAGCCAAGTTTGCCGCACCGACATCACCACTTTTACCCATCGCTGAAGGATGCTGAAGGTCTGCCAAAAAAAACGTTTTTGGTCGTAGATGAGGTGAAAGCACCATGTCGCCACATGTAGGCCCCAATTCGGGAACCATGTGATATTGCTCCATCGTATCACCAAGTTTTGCTCCGGTTTGGTGTTGTAGTGAAAGTGGTGGCAACCTGTAAGATGGTTTTTTGTCCAGCATTTATTGGCAATGTGTTTTTCCCCAACAGCGTTAGCTTAGGGGTCTCAGCCCAGATAAGGGCCAGTGCAGCTTTTGGGAGGTTCCGGTGCGGGTTCCGGTGTGGCTTTCGGTGCGGCGGGTTCCAGGGAGGTTCAGGGGGTCAGGAGGCTTGGTTCCAGGTGGTTCCGGGTGACGGCGCAGGTTCCGGCTCACCCTCGGTACACAAAAACGGTGGTGCCCATTGGCATTCCATTTTTGTGTTTCATTTTTCCAGATGAGCGAGTCGTGCATCAGTTTTTAAAGGTTGGTGGGTGGACTTTGCCATGATGTCACCACATCCAGAGACAAACTGGCATTCTATAGAATATGATACATCTATAGTTCCTCATGTGATTCGTGATTGTTTCTGGGCAATTTGGAAAACCCCGCTGCATTACGAATCAAATAACGGTGCTTTGCAAAACCGTAGATCCGAAATTGTGATTAATATAGAACACATTTTCATCGAAGGATCTGAAAACTATGCATGCCAAACCTTGATGCCAAACATTTTCACATTGCGGCACATTTTGGTTTTAGGGTCTTAGTGACAGCACTTCGGCGCGACCGTCGTGTGTGAGTCATGAACGGGGACCGTTTGTACGCACCATCTGTCCACCTAAACAAAGACTTTTGGCAAATTGATCGATTGGTCGTGTGCCTGCAGGGGTGGTTTGTCATGTTACTTGTTACGTTTTGAAAACCCAAGGGAATTGTTACTTTGGAATGTCTTGGAAATGCAATGCCACAGTGTGCAAAGTGTGGTTGAACATCAAGAACAAACATTGACAGACGGCGCAGATATTTTTTCGATTCACAACGAGGGGAATTGTTGTCATGTCACTCGCTTTCAACAACAATACTTATATTGACTCCCAAACCAGAACCCAATGTGTGGCCAGGTTGCTGAAACGGTTGGCACTGACATCGTTCGTTTATTGGCACCTGCCACAAATCCGTTCTCAGAGCATTTGACCATATTTGACCTATCTTGTAAAGGCTTGAACTGAAATGTCCATGACCGGGAATCCTGAAGTGCTGTCGGGCTCCGTTCTCAGGAACTGATTGAAGATGATGTTGAGGCCCTAGATATCGGGTCCCGGCATCTTACCCAGTGTTCTTCATGGAGAATAGCATCTAAATTTAAACATTTTGAACCGTGCCTTCTTGAGAGCAAACGTTAAACCAATCAAAATGACTTGGATGCCTGCATCTGCCTGCAAAGGCACTGTTTTTTCTATGACACAGGTCTTTGCACCGAAGATGCCTCGGGAGAGTCCAGATCTTCATGTGCCAGATTCGCCAGATCTTCGTGGTGTAGCCTCTCTTCCTGCGGATGAGGCGCGTGAAGCGCGGGTGTTGCTTTCTTCGGCCTTTCAAGCTGTGGTGGAAAAGTTGGTGCACCTGCATGTCAAGGACCTGCAGGGTCACATGGGACATGGCCGTTCAGCAAAATCTGGGGTCATTGTCAACTCTTGGCATCCATTCTGAAAGGCCGTGTAGGGTCCACTGGGTTGGAGTTGAAGCAATCCTTTCTCCTTCGCCCAGTTCGTTTCCTGTACTTGTTCGTTGCTCCATAAACAAAGAAACCGGAAATCTTCATTTCTGTTTGGTGACCGCTGTCTGAACCTTTTCCTGCTGGAGTTATTCACTTGTTACTCGCCGAATTTAAGCCAACCAAAAAAGTGAATGATTCTATTTACATGCGTGCTTGAAATTAAGGATATATGATGATATATGTATTTTGAAATCTATTTGAACTTAACTTTTATTTGGAAAATTTACATTATATTTTCTACTCTAAGTACTTGAAGAGCAACGGAAGGTCTTTGTGTTGGAACTTGTTTTGGTTATTTTTCAGCCTAGTGGCCCAGTGTGTGAATTCATTGGCATCGAAACTCTGTTGCAGCGAAAGAGCTCACAGCTCACATCCATGCTGGATGTACTATCTGAACATGAAGTCACATCCCGATATGAAATCAAAAATATCAAGATACAGGGATGTGTCAATACATCTATGGGACTCATTTGATGGGACGATACATGTCAATATCATTTGTAAACACCAGCTACAGTGCAGTATACATAAAACATCATAAAAATCATAAAACTGGTATGAACCCTTCAGAGGTTCCTGGATTGGGCATCCAAATAGATTCTTTCCCGCTGATTGGAGGAACTTGCCGAGTTCTCGCGGGGCCCCAAGCTGGAACACGGAGGCACCCACAGCGTTCCTGGCATCAACCATGTCTCATTTGAGGCGGGGCGGGCCAGCGGCTAGTTTGATACAAATCTGGGAAAACCTTGGTTGGATAGTTCAGTACTATTTAGTGCTTAATTTATGTTTTTTTTCCCACAAATGGCTGGTGTTATAATTACATACTACACAGACGACACACCATCCAACACAAGCCATTGAATCCAAAATCTAGCCCTGTTGGTATTGCAGATTGTTGGAATTTTATGGAAACATTCTCCTTCAATTTCTGATTGCCGCGGTGTACTGTGTGTAACTGTGGTATGCTGTGGTCCTGAACCACAGACCGCTTCCCCCCAACTCCGGGAGCAAAGCAAGCACCGAAGGACCCTGGTCAGTTGCAACCAGACGAAAGTTTGCAAAGCTTGATGAGCTTGAAGGGTCCGACTCCTTCACCCTTGGCTGCCATGGCCGCGCAGCGAAGCTCGGTGAGTCGATTCATAATTTCTTAACATTTTTTTGCAAATTAAGGGAAGGGTCAATCCTCTTCGAAGGGGCAAAAGGAAAACCCAACAGTTGTCCATTTGACTAGCAAAACTCATAACCGCTTGGGCAGTCTATGACAACCATGGTAACATTTTCATTTTCTTTCCGGTGTACTTTGTGGATCATTGGCGGAAGGACTTGGATCATCGTATTATTCCACAATATTCCCCATGATTCTTGGGGACCCCCATTCCCCAGAATCCTGACCATCGATCCATATCGGTCCCAGGTTCAGCCATGAGGTCGACAAGGTCGATGCGCAGCTCTAGGTCGATGCACAGTTCCGTGTCGCGCATCTCCTCCATTGGCAACTCCTCGATGTCATCGGCCTTCTCGGGTCGGGGATCGATCAGGGAGGTTAAGGCCAATGAGGTGCCGTCAGTGATGCCGTTTGGTGGACATTTTTTGTGAGCCATTTGTGACGTGAGAACCTGAGAACCTGAGAACCTGAGAACCTGAGAACCTGAGAACCTGAGAACCTGATAGGTCTTGGAAAAGCTGCAGGAGCATGACCATTCGTCTGCTGTGGAAGATACCTTCGCGCCACTTGGCGAACTTTGTGGAAAAGGGAATGGGGGCTGGGATGGCAAGACATGGCAAGACATGGCAAGACATGGCAAGACACCTTTTGAGACACCACTATCCGAATCCTCTTTGCAATTTCCTCTACAAAATCGCAACAGTTAAGCTTGGGAACATGGTGCATTTTAGGGCCCTCCTTTGTTTAGGGGTACCTACACAGTGTCAACGTTTGCAATTTTACAGAGGACCTTGGTGTCAGCGATTCTACAGAGATTTCATGTTGAAAACAGGTTGACACTGAACACTTGGAGCAAGAGCAACTGGAGTATTCAGGTCAGCTGTCAAAGAAAATTGACTTGGGGAATCTGATTTTATAGAAGGACAACTCACCCCCCAACCAAAAAAAGGCTTTACGAGAGTGACTTGGTGTCAACTATTCTATAGAAAATGATGCTCATAAATATAAACAACCTCAGTGACAACAATTCTATGGAGATTGTCAACTTGAAAATACCATGGCATCTCTGATTCTGTAGATGCATTTTCAAAAAGAGGTCAACGTCTCCAGGCTTATCACTATAAACTTGCTCACACCAACACTTTCACTTAATTCACAAGGGGTTCTATCCGACCTAATTAGTTTGCACACTCCATTGACATCCAATTTTCAAACCTGTTTTTCTCAATTGCTTTTACCACCCATAGATGTCCTTGCAAGGGCGGTTAAGTCCTGTTGAACGGAGCTGTTGTATTCCATTAACTTGTGATAGCAGTGGAGCACTCTATGACCCCTGGAGGAGGCTTCGGGATGTGATGGGGACCCCGGATCGGTTCCATTTGGCCCATGGAACTAACTGGAACTCACTAAGTCACTATTCATCTATTTTTCCCTGCTTTGTCTCAGTATCCTGATTATCCTGTCTGCTGTGACTTTAGACATAGAAATGTTCATCTTCTGTGCAATTATCCAGTCATGAAGGTTTCGTCCCATCTCATCCCATTCTTTTGATTCCTTTAGTATTATATATATATCGCTTTACGGACATATCTTGCTTTGTCTCGTAAAAATTGCACTTTTTGTGTCTACACTGCCTATCCACTTGCGCATCAACCTATGATCCTTCATCTCTTTATCTATTCGTGTGTCGGGCCGTGTCGGTTCAGCCAGTCTGTCCACCTAAATATCTCCATGAAAGCACATCAAATCCCCACCAGTTGAAAGAAAATGGTCAGACCAAGGCCTCGGCACTGAGATCAAACATCACCAGTAGCTGAGAGATGGTGAGAACACATTCCAGAACCACATGTCTAAGCCTGTCTCAGCCCGTTAGGAATCTGCTCCCAATTTTGACCCTCCCGCACGAGCCGCACCAGGAACCACATCCAAGATGTGATTGCCCAAATGATTCTTGGCAGGCGGTCAGTAGGACTCCTAGGACTCGACTGGAAAGGGGTGCAGCTTTCTTTCTGTCTCACTCTGGTTGACACCCTTGAACCCTTGAATTTGTAGGTGACTGCTCATTGGAAGGGAATGCAGAGTTTTTTGCTTTTTGCATGGGTTGTGGGTTCCATCCCTACCTCCAAGGAAAGAGGACGAAATGAAGTCCGTTGCAGAGAAACATTCATCCGACAATGATCTCGCGGGGTGGAGGTATCTGCAGCAACTCCGCGCGTGGTTGCTAAGCTGTGCGGAATGATGAAGCAGCAATTTATTGGGTTGTTGGGTGGAGTGGGAGGATCTTCCTATCTCTTCCTCGTGAGACGACACAAATCTTCAGTGTGTTGCTTGTGGCCGTGTTTTTAAAGCGGTGAGTTGTCAGACACTGTGCTGTGATCTTGTTTTTTTGCTGGCCTGGCCTGTCTGGGGCAGGCTTCATGAAATCCATACTTGGTATCATTGATATCACCATGGACACGAACAAAGCGTTCTTCTAACTTCTATCGACAGGAAAATGACAAGAGGAAGAAAGGGACGGGGAAGAGCAAAGGGAAAAAGGACAAGAAAGGAGAGGCTAGCCGCGGCTAGCCTAGAGGTACGGAATGGCTAAGAAATGATTTGCAGCGCAGCGCGACAGCCCAAGTGCTTGCAAAACACAGCACCTTGTGGTTCTTGACAGATCGTGCATAGGCAAGTGCCAAATGAAGGCCAGCTCATTGAGTACAGAGAATTCTTTCGGATCGAATCACCCTGGATCATAATTCGTTTGTAGTGTTTATGAGTAGTGTTTATGAGTCCTCTAAGATTGTCGCACACAGACACATGTCCTTGTTGCCCCGGCTTCCCAGGTTGCAATCAAGCCGTTTTGAAGTTCTGGTGACTTCCCTCCTTTGCGTGTCTTGGCGTTGAAGGTTGTTGAAGCAGGGCTGAGCTCACAGAGGTCGCCATGCTGGATACTGAAATCATGTCTCACAACATCTTGAGGGTGTGGTTTTTCAAACCTCAAATATCAGTAAAATGTGGTAAACCTCATAATAAACCATCCCAAATTGGAGTTTATTATTGCGTATATATACAGTATACCTCTATAATATGTCTATTTGGGATAATGTAAAATTACCCTCAAATGGTTAGTTAATGGGATGGTTCATTATTGGGTTTACGACATTATTATAGCTTACTCTTGCATTCAACAGTCAATAGTCTGAATAAGAGGACCATGAATGGCTTTAGCTGGAAGCGTTCTGACGTCGTCCATTTGCCATCATTTGCCCACGCGTTAAAACATATTTAATTTAAATAGGAAAACTGCTTGCCATGGTACAGAGTTAGCCGCTCTAGAGTTGATTCACATTCTCTGAGGTCCATGTCCTTTGGATGGCCTTGGAGTTGCAATTTTTTGGCTCTCTTACAGGCAAGCGTCTAGGCACCGGAGATTTGGTGAGTCAGTCGTTTCAATATCTGTCTCTTTTTGTTTCGGTTCCGCCGTTCCGCCAGCATGAACATATCCCTGCCAGCCAGGCATATATGCAGACAGTATGGTGTCCGAGGAGTCCTGGCCAGCCATTGAGCAGATCTTCTGGATAGGCCACGGCCATGGCTGGGTTGGTGATAAGGGTCTGTAGACATCTGTAGATATCTGTAGACACTGTAGGGTGCTGGTCGGTGCTAGTCGGTGCAGGTGGAGAAAGGAGTTTGGGAAATGCCAATGATCATCACCGCAGTTGGTACCCAGGATCCCAGTGGTATTCGCCTCGCTTCCCGATAATGACTGCCCGCCAAAATTTAGTGGTCCTTGGTTCATGTGTAATGCTTGTGTTCAAGCCTATCTGGAATCTATTTTGACCCCATGTTGAGAGGTTTGCCAGGTCCACCATGAGCGGATGTTGGATCCTATTGAGCCTATTTATCTCTTACAACTTTCAAAGGAACGCGAAACTTGAGGAGCGTGCATCCAAAATAGAAGTATATCATGTTCGGACAAGTTTTTTTGAATTTGCCACTCTTCTTTGGAGTTTGCGAATCTTCATTTATAGGTCTGTTGGCCTCATGTGGAACCTATTTTGGGACTTCAATCCGACCGGTTTTCCCATTTTGACATATTTTGAAGCTCTTTGTGGAGTAGTTTAACATTTTATGCCAGTTCAAAAAAGTGGAAAGACACTGGATTCTAAAAAATCACAGAGACACCGCACGCTGGCTAAAGTTCTAGTGCTTGTCACACATGTCTGGATGAGATGCCTGGGCACGCTGCTTGAGCCTTCTTCAACCCCTCAGGTGACATGGGTTTCACAGCTGTTTTCACATTTGATGTGGCATTTCGGATCCTGGTGTTGCAGCGGAAATTCTGGAGGCCGGACAGCTGAGAACTGGTTAAAACCAAACAGACTGGGTTTGTAAGATGGGTTTTCTGTTGGACATGGCCATTCTTGCATTACATGTTGAAATATGTTTGATTTTTGCGTGTAGTCTGAGAGTGAGCCTTGGATCGACACAAGAAATTCATACAACTGATTCTTGAGCTAGCCTCACATTCGTGTTTTGGTGATCAATGACACCAAAGACACCTGGGCAGGGTGTGCATGAACTACGTGGACGTCTTGGTGACTTTTGCTTCTTTGGTGGAAGTGGCCTTTGTTGCTTTGGTTCTGCCCATGGAGCCGACTCTGTTTCGCTTACTGCGGATCGGTACCTTGCGCCAATACCTTGGATGTTTTGGATAGGGGAAGAATTGGGGGAATTGAAGATCTGAGGGTGGAGCGAAATCTGATCATCATGATAATGATATATATATATATAATGATCATGATCGTCTCATCACCATGGACATAGAAATAGAGATACACTCTGCCGAATACAAGCTGCAAAAGCCTTGTTCCAGCTCCAACGGATGTGTTTATGTTCAAATGATTTCAAATGGAGATTCTGGGCAGGGATGGTTGCAGTAAGCCCGGATAGCAGATTGCCAGGCAAACTGGCACGTGCCCTTCGTATGGTGACAATGACCAGTGTCCTATCTTCACTTCAATTATTGATCAAGTGTCTCTCCGCCAGCTTGGATATGTTGTGCCTTGGCTGCCTTGGTGGGGAACTTTGATGAACTTTGTGTCTTGCACTCCTTTGATTTCCTTTATAAGCTGTTATCGTGGATGTGTCCTCCACCACTTGGTATAGCTGTGTTAAGAGTTGACGGATTCATGGGGGCCGCAAGAATCATTTGTGAATAGCACTATGACATGATATCCATCCCTAATTTGAAGGGAGAGGAGCGTTCTGATTTTCTGTTGGATTTTTGTGCTACTGGTACAAGGGCACGTGCCGTTGCCGGGCTATCCTTCCTTGTCGAGTTGTTACATCGGTTTTCCACACAAAAACGAAATTTGACCAAGCTACAACTCTTGGTGCAGCCTATGCCCCCAAGTGCCAGTCGTTGCTTCTTGCAGGCCTGATACTTAGATTCAAAATATTTTAAAAGGATAGATGAGTTTCTGTTCATTGTTCATGGTGTCCCGGCTACAAAATGTATCCAAGTATCAACCACTGCAAATTTGAGGACAAGAGCATCTCCCCTGACAAATGGTGGTGTAGGCGAATCCAATTTTCCAATGAGTTTTGCACAGCGGAGGTTCTGGACGTTTTGTCTCTTGACATTCTTACAATGCGTTGCTGGAATGGTGGTCAGCACACTATGCCGTGAGTACATCACCAATCCCGAGGAGGACCAAATCAAGCGCGAACAGGTGTACAGGTCAGCTGTTCCGGGAGATTCTTGAGTTGGCCTGAGTGACACCATGCTGTACGAGACTTTTCAAGTCTGTACCTAGGATAGTCTGGAATTCTCATTTTCCAAACGCAAGGTGCTTTTGCAGACCTGTAGGCATGTCGTCCCCGTCTGACTGTCTCATTTTTTGTAAGCTAGATTCGACCTTCAAGCCTTGGGAGCTTGAAGGCCAGACAAATCTTGCTCGGTCCACAGGGTGTTAGGCAACCCTTGTGCAGCTGCCATGCTCAGTTACTACGGGACATTCTCGAGAACTTTTTTGACCATGTTCGAAACTCGACTTGAGATACCTTTTGATGGTTCGGAAATCTGGTGGCCAACCTGTCTAAAAATGACACGTTGGGATTAATTGGGATCTATATATAGTGACCGACTTACACTTAGAACCTATTTTGGAAAAAAAAACATAGCGGCGGACCGCGGCGGACCAGGTTCTAAGTGTACACTTAGAACCCCAAACAAGTCAACACTTCGAAACAGATCATTATATTTGACATTAACACTTAGAACCTACCCCAATCTAACATATATCCACTTCTAATCTAGCTTATAAGTGTAAGTCGGTCGCCATAAATAAATAAATAAATAAATATAAATATATATATATATATATATATATAATAGGCACAGATGACATTGGACTTTGCGGCCGATTTAGCCGAGGTTTTTTGGCACATGACATGGGATTTATGTCCCTTTTTTGCTATGTTTTTTAAAACGCATGACATGGGAGTTATGCGCCGACCTAAGGGGCAGGTATGTTTTCATTTTTTTGACAGATGACACGGGCTTCGCGTGGGGTGGCCGCCCACACCGCAGGTTTATTTCGGTCCGTCCCCCGTGGGGGCTCCCCAAGCTAAGAATTTTCACTTTCCCCCCCCGTGGGGACTCCCCAAGCTAGGGAATTTTCACTTTTCCCCCCCGTGGGGGCTCCCCAAGCTAGGGAATTTTCACTTTTCCCCCCCGTGGGGGCTCCCCAAGCTAGGGAATTTTCACTTTTCCCCCCCGTGGGGGCTCCCCAAGCTAGGGAATTTTCACTTTTCCCCCCCGTGGGGGCTCCCCAAGCTAGGGCTCCCCAAGCTAGGGAATTTTCACTTTTCCCCCCCGTGGGGGCTTCCCAAGCTAGGGAATTTTCACTTTTCCCCGCCGTGACAGCTTCCCAAGCTATGGAATTTTCACTTTTCCCTCCCTTGGAGGCTCTCCAAGCTGCGGAATTTCAAATAGCTAGACAACGACGCCTAGATAGTCCCCCAAATCCCGTGTTCTTTGAATGTGTTTCCATGTTTTTGCAATGGTTTCCTTCAAAGCACGGTACTTTACACTTTTGTCGCCATAAAACCGGTCGAAAACATCATGTTCGACAATGCTTCCAATTCCCTTATCTCCCCAACCGTTGAAAATACCGCTATTTACAGTGTTTTCTTCAATTTTTCCATGTGCCAATGCCGGTAGCCAACTCCAACATATATATAAGAAATCCTTCCAAAACATTGTTTTTGACAGTGTTTTTCCAATGTTTCCAGTCAAACAGACGGTAATTTACACGTTTTTTGCCATAAAGGCAGTAAATCCTTCCAAAACATTGCTTTTGACAGTGTTTTTGTAATGTTTCCAGTCAAGCATACGGTAATTTACACGTTTTTTGCTATAACGTCAGTCCAAAACACTTGTTTTTGCAGTGTTTTCAATGCTCTGGCATCCAAAAACCTTGCAAAATCTTGCTATGTACAATGTTTTTTTCATTTTTGGCCGTTTTTCCATTGCCGGAAAGCTACCAAAATGACCCAAAATTCCATTTCAATACCCTCTTGCGCTCAGACACCCAAAAATCCTCGAAAAATGTCGAAAACACCACCGTATTCTGGTCTCGGTGCGAAACCGTTTTTGGCCCCCCCCCAGCTAAAGCTGATATAGCGACTGCTATATTAACAAATGTCATTGAGCATTTAGTGTTGCTGTTTTGCCCCCCAATAAGCACGCCTTCACCGCCAAAGCGGTGTGGGCGGATTTGATCAAATTTGACAAGAATCTTGGGACTTCCAGGAAAACACAGACGTCCAAGATGGGAAGTGGCAGGTAATGAGGTGGGAAGACGAATTTACCACATGAGATGGGACGTCCAAGATGGGAAGTGATAGGGAATGAGATGGGAAGACGAATTTACCACATGACATGGGACTTCCAAGACGGGAAGTGGCAGGTGATGAGATGGGAAGACGAATTTACCACAGGAGGTGGGACTTCCAAGATGGGAAGTGGCAGGTAGTGAGATGGGAAGACGAATTTACCACAGGAGATGGGACGTTCAAGATGGGAAGTGGCATGGGAAGACGAACTTGCCACAGGAGATGGGACGTTCAAGATGGGATGTGGCAGATAATGAGATGGGAAGACGAATTTACCACAGGAGATGGGACTTCCAAGATGGGAAGTGGCAGGTCATGAGATGGGAAGACGAATTTACCATAGGAGATGGGGGACGTCCAAGATGGGAAGTGACAGGTAGTGAGATGGGAAGACGAATTTACCACATGACATGGGACTTCCAAGATGGGAAGTGGCAGGTGATGAGATGGGAAGACGAATTTACCACAGCAGAGGGGACGTCCAAGATGGGAAGTGGCAGGTAATGAGATGGGAAGATGAATTTACCACAGGAGATGGGACGTTCAAGATGGGAAGTGGCATGAGATGGGACTTCCAAGAAAAGGTTTGCTGTGATGGCAGGATCGAGCCCCGCTGTTTTCTGCATCATGCGTGGTGGGCCAGTTGCCTTCAACCTTGGACCATGGTGCCTAGCAGTACACAACACAGGGTGCATAACCTTTGGGTTGCATGTCCCGCGCAAAAGCGATTTGGGTGGCCCACTGCAATGGCCCATGATGAGTTGGTGCTGGATTGCGTCCGGATGGGATTCTTGGATGGGCGATATAGAGCACGCGCGTGAGCTGTGCTGGCAGCGTTAGCCAAGGAGATACTTTTTGCAAATTGGAGTCCTCCTTGCCGGGTCCTGGTTGACAATGTGAGCGAATGGTTTTCCATTTTCTTCCTGGTTTACCGCTGCATTATTGGCTTTGCTGTGCCACTTGGCTCAAAGAGCAAAGGTCGCATCGCTGCTTCTCAAAGGGTAGGTGATTTCCAGCTTTCAGGTGGCATGTGACAACATCATGACTTGTAGAGATCCTTTTCTTGGTGTCATTGTTTCACGTTTGGTAAACAGTGAATTTTCTTTCAGATTCATGTTTGGAAGAATTCGCCTTCAATATCAAGACAGCAGTGCATGGATGATTTGGTTCCTCAGGCTGAATGTGGTCAATGCAGTTTTTGTGTTCCTTGGCATTGCATTGGTTTGCAAAGCCACCATGCGAACAACGGAGTGAGTAGAGTGCTCTGTGTCACATTTGGGCTGAATCAGGCAACAAACTATGAAAACTGCGAGCTCTGATGAAGATTTGGCATTCAAGCAGAAAGAGCGAGATATCAACGCGCAGCTTGGATGCAAAGATGATGCGGAAAATCAAACGGCAAGCGGCAGTCAGTGTTGCGCGCGGGAAACTGTCACACCGTAAAACGTGATAGACTGGTTTGCCATGAGAAAAATGTGCGGCCTTTAACTTCCCAGCGCACATTGAAGACTATTGAAGTTCAATCTGGCAAAACCGCCGGTGACGCCCCAGTGCTGAGACACCTTCATATCTACTTGGTCACAAGACAAACCTTAATTCAGCTGAGAGAAGCGGAAGAGATGACTGGGAAGAGTATTTTGCTGGGAATTTACACATGGAATTCTATTCAAGGCGCGATGGTTCATCACGCTTCGCCATTTCAAAAGCAATCCGTACACCGTAGGCTTTCTGATTGTGCAATATTGCGTATTGAAGGGTTCGAGTTTAGTCTTGAAGGGTGGAGTCAGGAGTCTTTCTCTGTGTTTCATAGCGATGAAATCATTTTCAAGTCGTTGTTTGTGTGGTGCATGTTTAGTTCATGTGCGATTGAAGAGGGGCGATTCAATATCAGGGCGGCGCAGCATTTCGTGAAGGTCGACAAGCGGGCATGTTGCATTTCTCCAGATTTCGGGAACAGCTTCAATTTGAGTTGTTTTTTGTTTGAACACTTCCATTGGTAGGAGTGTTCGGTCTGATTTGTTTGACTTTTTGTTGCACCTTCTTCGTTTGTCCTATGCCCTATGCTGCTATCAGCATTTCTTTGCTGGGTGTCGATGCAAAGGGACGCGCGAAGGGTTCTTCATCAAACCGATTTGCGGCAAAATAAATTTCATTTCGAAGTTTAAATTTCAGAGGCAGACTACCGAGAAGGTACGAGCAAACAAATGGTCAGATTGGAGGCTGAATCCATATATATATACGTATATTATATACATATATACGTATATATATATATATATGTATCTATATGTATAAATATACAGTAATATTGTATTCATATACACATGACTGCTGACGTGCGCCAAGGCTAATAACTTCAGTTTTCCAGAAATGGTGTCTGGGTGTCAAACTCAAACGACAAAGACGAAGGAACCACCCAGCCATCAGAGCTAGTGATTGGATCGTCCTTGGGCTTCACTGGACACGTTGGTGTTGTATGTGTTGTTTTCGCCCTTGTTTTCTGGGTCAGGTACAAGCGAAAGGTTCGCAAGCTGTTTCAGACGATGGATGATTCGTGTGACGGAGCCATAAATCTTGAAGAGTTCTCCAAATTAGTTCCTTGGATTCCTTGGATTCCTGGGATTCCTTGGATGCCAGTGTTGCTCCTTTTGAAAGTCAAGCGCGTTGTTGGAGGGTTATGTTTCCATTACCTTCCATCACCCGGTGCCACAGAATCAACACGATATACATGAGCATTCTGTCAAACAACTAGTGTTGGGAATATGCTGGGACCAGTGTTCGGATGCCTTCAGCGGATATTGGATTGAACTTACAACATGAAATCCCAGTGACATGCCAATGGCTGGACACTCCTGAGGTGACATCTCCAAAGTTGAAGTTTTGGATGAGTCAGTTGGAGTTGCCTGGCACAAAGAGACGCTGTTTACCGACTGGATAATTGGAGATGAATAGCCGATATACATTGCGGGACCTTCCTGTTGCATTCCGTACATTCGCTCTTCAGATATCGACTAACCGGACGCATTTGCACGTGAGCTGACCTGAGGACTATCATGTGTTCGGCATTTTCTGGTTTATGGTTTGAACTTTTTTCCGTCCTACCTGGATGATCTCATTTGACAGATCTGCTATTAATTTGCCAGCGGGGTTGAAACCGCCAACTGGTTTTGCTTTCCTGATGGTGGACCTTCCAAAAGAAGAGCCATGTCACGTTGACCAAGGTTGGAGTACCACGACCTTTTGAGCCTCTTCGAGTTTCTGGAGCCGTCAAGCCGGTTCTGCATCAAGCCATGATTGATTTCAGAGATCAGACTTGAATTCGAATAAACAAAAGCCCGATGATGTCTGATGCAGTCAGTCATGTATTGTATAGAACATTTAGAACCGTGACAGCATCGAAATACAAGGAAGTGTTGTTTCCGTTCACATCCTTTGCAGACCTGTCATGGCGTTTTTTTTCCCACTTCAGCAAGTGAATGGCTGTTCCTTCAACAAACAGTACAAGGCAAGTTCCATCCATCATTGCATTGATTGGTTCATTCTTTCACCGATTCCTTAATTCATTGTTCCATTGTTTCATAGATTCATTGGTTCATTGATTCATTGATTGTTTGATTCACTGATTCAGCGATTCGTTGATTGGTTGCTTCACTGATTCATTGGTTCATCGTTTTGATGATCCGCTTCATTGATTCGTCGGTTCGCTGATTCACTTAATCATTGATTCTGTGATTGATTCATTGCCTCTGTAATTGTTTCATTGGTTCATTGGCTCACTGATTCATTGATTCGATGATTCGTTGCTTCATTGATTTATTGACTCATTGATTCACAAAACCACTGATTCTGTGATTGGTTCATTGCTCGAGTCAGTGATTCATTGATTCACCGGCTCACTGATTCACTGGTTCGTTGCTGGCTTGGATTCATTGACTCATTGATTGGCTGGTTCATTGATTCATTGATTTGTCGTTTCAATGGCTCCTCACGCAGCACCTCCTGGACTTCGCCATTTCGATGGTTGGCATCATGGTCCTCGGTGGGAGGGGGTAGCAATGTGGCAACAACCATTGTCTCATTGCTAGCAAAGCGGGCATCAACCACATTGCAATGCATTTTGCTTTTTGCAATGATACAACCATGCAGTGCACAGAAAGTCCCTGACAACCATGGGAACGGGACCGCAACAGATGCACTACTCCGCCTGAGTTTCTTAGGTGGTCTCATGGTGTTTGCACTCGGATGGGATTGGTTGACTACAACCAACCCTCGCAATTGGTCACCAAAGACGGGAAAAACAAAGAAAAACAATGAAAAACAAAAGAAAAATGGCATACCAGAACAAAAAGCGAAAGCTGTTTCACATCCGTGTTGCCTTAGCAGCCCGGACAATTGGCAAACAACGCAAAGCATATAAGCGGTTATACCGCAGACGCATTGCAACTGTTGGGATTCCACTAGCATTCCCTTGGGTACGATGCTACCCGGGCCCAAATGAGACACAACAAAGACTCAACCTTGCCGGTGGAGTCGGTGCTGGAGGATCCACCGTTACAAAAAGAAAGCGCTGGAACAAACAACAACCAGGCCTAGCCACCGCACTCATGCAAGTTCTACAACAATATGATCGGGCCAACAAACAACATGATGAGAACCGAAGCAAGCGACAAAGGAAAAACACCTGGAACAAGCACGATCCTTGTGGCACTCGTCAAGGACAGGACAATACGCTGGCCAGCACATGGTTGCAGCTTCTTCAAACACAGCAATTCAACAGCGATGCACACCTCGCCAACACCATTGTCAGTACTATCAACAAGCATGGCGCCAACACAAGCCAGCAACCAAATTGGCAAAAGCCATCACGCTTTGCCACAACCACCCAGCAATCACCACCCCAGACTGCACACGACCGCAGCGGGGGAAAAAGCAACAATCGATGGAACAAACCGAAACCGAAAGCGGACGGACATCACCCAACTGGCAGCTGCTGAGTGGACAACACCACCTCGGCTCATCAGATACAACCAACTGATTGATGCAATCAAGAAGCAAGAGCACAGCCAACACAACATCTTCGAGGTCACCACGCCTCACGAATACGACACGCTGTGCACTTACTGGGCTACCTACAACTACCAGCAAGCTTTCACTTTGATCTGCACAGGGGAAGCCCTGAAAACCACAGGAAATACCCATACCAGTGCCAAGATCAAGCGACAGCATGCAAAAACCTTCAAAGTTGAAAATATCAGCCTCGAGGCACTTGGTGACAAAGCACAATGTCCGTGGCCGTTCACACCAACACAGTTCAAGGCGGCTGACATTCCCAAAGTTGAACGCACCACAATCCGAATCGCAGCCCCACAGGAATACAGGCAGCAATGCTACGAAAAAGACAGTGCCCAAAAAAATTTGACGGACATCGCCACTTGGTACATCGATGGATTCACCACTACCACTCTCTCAGGCGGCAAATGGACCAAACAATGGGCTGGGCACAAAGGACAATTTGAGAACTTCTGGTTGGATTCGTTAAACTCGATCAAAAACTGGTACCACAACTCCTCAAGCACAGCGGAGCTCATGGGATCTTCTTCAACGTCGTCGAAGAGGCAGCGACCAGAAAACCCATGCAATGGTTCCCACGTGACAAAGACACTTCCACCAACCACTACCTCCAAAACTGCCTTCACGAAGCGAAGCGCCAAAACCAAGCCTTAAAATTGCGAAAGGGAGGAGCCAACAACCTCGGCATTCCATGCGACCCAGGCCAACAAAGCAAACCAACGCATGTGATCGCTAGAGGGGTCCCTGACAGCTGGGAGTTTGAAGAACTTCAACATCTCCTCACTACCCAAGGATGGCTCGACACCAAGGTCATCAACAAATACAAGAAAAGCCACACCAACACTGAATGGCACATCTTGGGCAAGCCCCCCCCAAACCAAGCATCACAGGAATCCTGGCACTACGTCGACCCGGGTGTTGTCGACATACACCTGGTTCAAGCCCCGGCCAAGCAGAGGCCCCAGGTCTGGCAACAAAACATCCGTGGGCCAGCCAGAATGTGCCAACCCCCACTCCAGACGGAAACGAGGCCTGCTCAAGCAAGCCGAAACACCGTCTGATGCCACCATGAAATCCCCCACGGCGTGAACAGGACCAAGATTCCACAGCTGATGCGAAGCAACGCAAGGGCTCCTCACGCTCACCCCGACGAAGACCTAGGGTGGCTGAACACGAAAATCGACCCGACCCATCTCCCAGTCAGCCACAGCCCAAATATGATAAAAAGTTCCAGCCATCTCCTATGCTCCCTATACGCCTTACACCCCCATGGAAGCCATTTGCCAGGGATGGACACGTCATGACCTGAAGGGAACGGGCGACTGTGCATACCGGGCAATCTGCGGAGCAAGGCGCTATGCCAAAACTGGCGAGCACCTCGACACTGACGAAGCTACTGCCGAAGCAGCCGGACTCAGAGCCCAATGTGTCATCCACTGCAAAAAACATGCGGTCAGATTCCAAACTTTCTTTGCGCCCGACAAAGAAGAAAACGCGCATCAACGCAACAGCAAACCAGCAGCTCAGACCTTCACGAGTGGATTGAAAACCAGCCTGATCCCAAAACATGGGCGTGCTCTTATTCCTTGCAAGCCATAGCAGAGCGCACTGGAATGCCCATTGTTGTCTTCAAAAAACAGGAGGATTCTGACCAATGGATACGAACCCTTTTTGCTAGCAAATTCAGCCGAGGAAAGGCATGCGCAGCCCGACAAGAACATGTGCTCGAAAAGCATCACTACACGTACCTGACGCCACCTTCTGAAGGTAAAATACCACCCACCTGGTTAGCCGGCGAATCCAACCCGGATTGTGCTGTCATCGACTTCACTGGAGATGGCGAATCCACCGGCACTGCATCGGTCCATACAATGCTCTCCGACAACCTGAGCCGGACCAACAAAGCAAGCAGAAGCATCGCGGCAGCTTTGGCTACAGCTACTAACCAGCACAGCATCTCATATCTCATATCTCAGTAATCAGGGCTCTCCCGCGGGAGCGGCCCACGAACGAGATCTTATGGGCACCCACCACTCAAGAGCCTAAAAGTAAAACGAAAAGGGGAAAGCATCAGAGGCCGCCCCCAGGCCATTCAGATCTTTGTGTTCGCTTCCCACAATAGCGCCTCCCTGGGCACCAAGAAACCAACCCACTTGCTGCCTGCTTACGTGCAGCCACCAAGCTGGTGCTGACAAAGCGAACCCGTTCAGCGAAAGATTCAACCGGATCCAGGTCAAACCAAGATTCCCTTTTCGGCCGATTGACCGGCAACCTATTACAAGCCAAAACGTGCTCTATTCCGATCCTGGGAAGAAAACAAAAAGGGCATCTGGGAAGTTCCTCAACAGTCGACTGCGTGCTGGACACGCAATGCGAAGGGAAGGCCCCCGTTATCCTTGCAAAGGACCAGATTCTAAAATGGTACCACATTGGCTTAGACCACATCACAGTTTTGAGAAAGTGTAAGAGTCGCAGGTGGTGTGAGTCCCAAGCAACTCTGACACTATGGGTTGTTTCCCACAATGCGCTTTGTTCCTGGAACCATTTAGCCTCGTGTCTTTGAAAATGGGGAAGCAAAATTTGTGTTTTCCAAAGGTGCACAGCCCGCTTTACATCACTGTCCAGCCCATGGCGTAGCAGTTGCGCCACACCAGGTGTTTCAAGGAAATCGTTCTCAATGCCAAATAAGTGCGCCAATTCCTGGGTGTGAGAGAGCCACGTTGATCCCTTAGTGACCAAAGCCGCCCGGATTGGAGTTGCCGCTTCCAAGTTGACTGGGAGACATAAGAGTCGTGCCCGCAAAACCCAGTCGCGTTCCCAATCGCCACCCGACTCTGACCCCCAACGCCCAACGATGCTCCACTGCACCCTAATAGTTCTTTGCATACCATATAGTGGACCTTGTTTACTCGTCTAGAGAGGGCTGGCCATCCCTGGGCATGGCTTGCCAAAGCGACTGCAACATGTAATGCTGCTGGCTCAACTCTGTTCCATATTTGATCAACTTGAAGAAGAAGCCCTAGGGAATGGTCACGACAAGTGGAAATTAACCCTTGGGCTTCCTTTAGAAACCTCGCGCAGCATTCAGCCACCAAAGGTTCAAAGGATAGATTCTGATCTACCAGCACCCCCAGCACAGAGACTTCATCCACAAAGCGGGGTCGTTGAGCGTCAGGAGTGTGGCTAAAGTCAATCTCATTCCGCGTCCAGTTGACCGGTAAAACCACCGGACCCTTTGCCCCAGAAGCAAACTTGTGTCTCCAGAAGTGTGTGAAAAGGAAATCTGCGATGCAAGAAGATGACAAACCAAACATTGAAGAGCCTAACGAGAACGCATCATCAACAAATTGGAAAAGTTTAACCTGAAAGGGAGCAGCTTCTTCCAATGCAAGCAATCTTTCAGTCATTGAAAAAAGGTTGATTGAGTGGTCTACTTGATCTTGTGTCTTCATCCTGTTAACAAGTTGTACAAGCTGCGGAAGGCTTCAGATCCGCACCATATCCACATGCACATCCGTTGCTACAGGTGACCAAACTCGCTCAACTTCAGTCTTTGTCCACCCCATCCCTACTTTTGGTGAAGTGCTGTAGAGGTCAGCCAGTCCCCGTGTTAAGGCTCCAAACAAGTGTACCGATGTTCGTTTGCCCTGCCCAATAGCAAACTCAACCGGTTTGTGGATGGGCCCCACAAGATTCAAAAGCCTTACCCTCACCTTATCCTGGCTAAAATTTGAATCAACGAGAAGCCAATCTCGTCCTTGGATCTGAGCATGCGCTAAATGTACTAGACATCCACTTCTCCAACTGAGGTCAAAACCTTGCAGTAGATCGGCCTTCTTTAACAATGTAGGCAATCCCGCTGCTGTTCGCAGTTGTAGACAAATAATCAAGGATAGTGATACCACTAGAGCATCCACGCGTCCACCGTGTTGATGTGCTCCCAGATAGATGTCCAATTTCTGTTTGTTTCTCCAAGGCCAACAGGCATCAAAAATACACTCTAGTGGGCAAGTATAGGACACTGGTCTTAAATTATTTAAGTTAGAAACCTTCATAGGGCCTTTCTTGCGAATAGGCGTGACCTCCCGCAGCCACGAGCTTGGAGTGAGGCACATATTTGCAACGAGGTTTACCAAAGCCCAAATAACCAGAAGCCCTTGATCCGTTTGAAACCGCAGATATGCCCGAGGCAGCCTAACTGCCACTTTCTTCCACTGAAGATGCTCACAGCACTCCTTGACCATGGTGCAGGAAGCAAATTCTGAAGCCTCATTAGCCGTGTGCTTTAATGCTGCAGCCCTAATCTGCGCGACCTCTTGTCGGACCTGTGCATGAAGCGTTGGGCTACCTGCTTCTGCTTTGTCACTTCTGTGAAGGAGATCATGTTCGATTTCATGGAGAGCTTCACGTAGGGAAAGTTCTTCACCAGTGGTTGGGTCTCTCAGTCCTATCTGGAGTGGAGCTTTTGGGGTCAGAAATGACGAGAGGAAGCTTTTGGGCAGATGCCGCGTCATGTAAGAATAACCTCTGTAATTTAAGCAACTTTGGCGCATTGAATTGTAAATCAATTTGAGCACGAACCTCATCATCCAATCCATTATCCTCTGTATTATGCTCAGTGGCGGCGTGAGACAGCAGGTTTTTCAATGTATCAGAAATTTTGACAATCTTTCCGGTGCCACAAGATAACCTAACAAGGCGTGTCATTCCCATCATGTGGCCCACCACAACCATAGTCGCACAATACCACCAATCAACTAAGTCTACCAATCGCTGCCTCAGTTTCTTTCGAGCCCCTTCTGTCACCCAACGTCGCACTTGAGGGGATTGTGTAAGGGTAAAGGCCCAGGCTGCAATGAAAAACATGGATTCGCTGCATGTGTTTGTCGCTTCATTCCATCCCGCGTGTTGTTCCCAAACTACTTTCTGGGCCAGAGGTTCCTCAGACGCACCCAATTTGCATTGGTCCACAGCGAGGATTAGCGGGTAATGGTCACTATTGAGAAGTTGTCTGTTTGAAGCAACATGAACTGAAATATTCATGGCGTGATGAGAAAGGCAATGATCCAAAACCGCACCATCCTTGTGCGTGGGCACCCCAATAGGGTTCCGTGGTTTGAGGTTGAATCCATCCCGATGGGTGAGAAGCATCCAAATTTCCCGGTCAACTGGTCGACACAATCGGTCATCCTGTTCAGAAAAGCCGCTCATGTGGATGTTCAAATCACCACAAATAAATAACTGTGCATTTTTCCAACGTTGATTGCTCAGAAGTTTGTGCAGTTCCACTAGCCGTTGTTCCCAGAATTCCTTCCTTTCAGCCACAAGACGGTTTGGTGGAAATGCGTATGCCGCAAGTCCTAGTAATCTGACCTGATCTTCCCTAGCACTAAGACCTGAAATCTCAAACCAAATCGATCTTGAATTTCCCACTCCTTCTAGGAGCTGAACTTTAGGAAGGGCTTCGTTTAAAACAACCAAAGCAACTGAATCCGGATCACGTGATCTCTCCCCAAATCGACCAGCAATTCCAATGCCACATCTTCTGACCATACAGGCGCAACTGACATCCTTATGGAAGCAAAGCCCACCACACGGCCACAGCAGCCACAGCTTCCACCACAACACAGCATCTTCGACCTTCACAAGCTACAGAGCAATACTGCCCAGCACCACATCCCAACCGCGCGCGCTGGTTGTCTCGACGTGTCGCGGAACCAAGTCCAAGTGACCGCTGGTAATTCCCCTCATCGATCGACGGCCAGTGCGCCTGGTTCTGTGGATCCCTTGGGCACCGACGAGAAGGTACAGCCCTGCGACAGCAGTGACAACGGCACACCACCGGTACATACGATCCGGACACAGCACACCGCAGCCCACAGCAGCACAACACCCTCGGTGCACACCATCTTCACAGCCGCGGCACGAACTAATAGGACACCCTCTGCCCACACGATCCAGACCGTGCTCCTACCTGCCAACCAGCAAAGTGACCCCGGTATACTTGGGAAACCGCCAGGACGGCCTCTTGCCCACCTGGACAACCCCAAGGTTGCCGAGAACCAAAACCCCAGGGTGGTTACATGCCTACCTGGGAATCAAGTCAATTTGAACCACAAATCGAAGCGGCTTTATGGGAAACAGGCTGACCCCAGCCTGGCCACTGCGACCACAAAAGACAGCTCAAAAGCTTTCACTTGGACATGTCGACTCTGCAATTACAAGATTGAAAGCACAACTGCTCGAGGAATCTCTGTTCCCAAACACAGACATTTCAAAAATAAGCATCCTGGCCACAAGAAAACGCCAGAAGACAAGTTCCATGCCCAAGAACTCCAGCAACCTGACCTTGGTGAACCCACCGATACCAAGGCAGCTGGCCCAAATCACCCGACCAAACTCACATTGGAGGCAATCAGCATCCATAACAAAAGCAAAAACCACACGTCACATACTGCCGAACCACCTACATTTGGCTGCCCCAAGAAGCGCAAGCGTGACCATTCCAAGGCAGCGGACAAAGGATGGTTCAATTGGTGGTGCCCTTACTGCGAAAGCGATATCCCAGTCAAAGGAGATTCCAAAGGTTTATTCTGGAGGAAAAAAGCATTTGAAGACCATTCACAACAAAACGCTCAAAGACTGCCCATCCCAGGGCAGTACAGCCCTGACCAATAGAGCCATGATGCGTGCCAAACAAATGCAAGCAATTGCACCCGACGATGCGCAGCACAACTTGCTGCATGTGAAGCAAAACAATCTTCAAGACTGCGTACCTGAACGGACCACTTGGATTTGCACTACCTGCCTCGCTAAAGGTAACACCGCCCACATGGGGAACACAACTTGCAATCCCCAAGCCAAGAATGCAGGCAGAGCCAAGTGGATCCACGGTCTGACCAAAGACCAAAGCCAACTACTGCAATCAACCCTCGGCTACACTGTTGACCAATGGAATACCATCAGGCAACAAGCCCAGCAGCTGATTGCCCAAAGCAAAAAGCACACCAAACGGTAAGCTTCCGACAAAGCCTACAACGAAATGCTCAAGATCAAAGGGAAGAACTGGAGGAAGAACCGCAGTCTTTGTGCCAACGCCCAACAAGCCTCTGGAGCTACCAACAGCAGGAACACCTATGTTCCCAAAGCCAGACGCTGCCTGGGCATCAAGGCTACATCTTCCAACCCAGCTTCTGACCCATTCTGACCCAACTTGCGGCGACGTCGAACCCCACCCTGGCCCCCATGCCACGACCCCCAAGCTCTGGCAAATCAACATAGCCAGCTACCACCTGATGACCGACATCCTTGCCACTGCCATCCAGGAAGGCATCCATGCGATCCTCATGCAAGAAACCCGACTCAGCGTCCTTGAAGTCGATTGCATCAACAATACCAACCGACAATGGCAGCTATTCCAGGCTTCCACGGCTACCACCCACCGACGCGAAGCTCCCAAGGCTGGTACAGCCGTCTTCATCCGCCGAAACATCCCTGCAGTTCTTGCAAAGAAACACGCTGACCAGGACGGGGAATGGATCGACGTGCCCATCCCAGCCCTTCACATCATCAGTGCCTATCGACGTCCTGGCATCAACAAGCAACCATGGACTGACAATATCGGCGAGCACCTGGCCAGCCTTGGCTCTGGCAAATGGTTCATGGACGGAGACTTCAACGGAACCCCACTGGAAGACCCACTGCTCATTTATGCACATTCCTTGCAGGCCGACGTCATCTATCCCCACCAAGATCCGGGACAAGGTGACGAAGCGGACAACGCAGACCCCCCGGAGCCCCTTCCCACGAGATGGGGAGGCAACAGCTGCATTAACTACAGCCTTCAACACGGCATCCAAGCACCTGTGCACCTGCGTCAGGAAAAGTACGCAGACCACAAGCTCCTGGAGTATAACCTGGACCATCAAATCCAACAGCAACCTGAAAGATGTTTTATCCCACAACCGAGATGGATGAGACCTGACCATGTGAACCCAGAGGATTGGCGACATCAGCTTGACCTTCAATGGGCTACTCACCAGTTCATTCTTCCTCCACTGGACAACACCACCGATATTGACCAGCTGTGGAATGATTGTATCCAAGCGCTCAGGCACACTTTCCGGCGGGCTCACAACCAAGCCTACGAAGGTCGCAACGACCGGCCCAAGCAGCACACACGGCAAACCAAGGGTACCAACCCTGGAACTTACCTGCGCCACAGCCACAACAGCGCAAACAGCCATCACAGCACCAGCATTCGACTTGCTCGACATCGACGGCACCATGAATATTGGGACATCCACCACAACAGGACGCAGGACGACAGCACCAGGCAACTCCGGCATAAGCTACAGTACAACCTGCGCCAATTGGGATGCCCGCATCCACTTTGGCCTAGCAATCAGCACCATATGCTGACCTGGCTCCAACAAGAGATTCAAAGCATCGAATCACAACAACAACAAGCTCGCATCACCGCCTGGCGTCGCAGGCTGCGCAACAGCACCCACCGAACTTGGAAATGGCTTGGACGAGGCAAATTCACAGCCCAGCTGGCCTACATCTCCGAATCCAACGGCGAGATCATTCACACCGACCAGCTCATTGATCGAGTTCACGCTATTGGCAAGCCATTTGGCCACAACCTACCGAGGAGGACCTTCAACAACAAGCTATCTTAGCACAACAACAGCCATGGCCGGCGGTTCAGGCACCACAACTGCCTACCATCCAACCACAGGACATCAGACGCACTGCCAAACGCCTGGCTGGCAAAGCCCGCGGCCTCGACGGATGGTCCGGGGCCCTACACCGGCACTTGAAATCGTGGCTTCCTTTTGCAACCACATCGAGCAAGGCCATCCGTGGCCAAACAGCACTACTCACTGGCGGCAGCTCCGCATTGCCAAGCCGGGCAAACCACCGAACAGAATTTCCTCAAGCTGACCAGCCCAATCTGGTACAGGATCTGGAGCTCACATCGAATCAAGCAGCTGGCACCTTGGTTCAAACAGGTCATGCCGGAAGAGCAGCATGGATGTCTCCAAGGCAAGGGCATTCACACTGCTCTCATACCCAACCTTGCTGCTATTGAGGCCAATCTCAGAATTACCGACCAAGCTGAAGATTATCGCTTTGTGGGAGGTGCTGACCTCTCCAAGGCTTTCGACAGACTTGCGTGGAAACATAGCACTGCGGCAATGCAACGCATGGGAATCCCTGCCGGAATCAACAATGCTCTTGCTGCAGCATGGCGACAACAACAGCGGTGGCTCACTACGGCTAACTACGTCAGCAATCGGCCATACCCAGCTCAGTGTCTCCCACAAGGCGACTCAGCGAGCCCAATTGGCCTGTGGCTACTATGTCTGAAGCCTACAGAAGAATCAGAGCTGCTCACCCTCAAGATCAACATGGGCCACAACGGCATTCCATTTTCTTTGACGACAGATTTTGGCTCACTACGCGAGCAAGCACTTGCGTCTCAATTGCAAGAGCGTGGCAACAAGCTACTGCCCAGCTCAATCTTGGAGAAAACGCTAGCAAAGCTGACTTCAATGCGTTTGGACGCAAAAACAATGTTGCGGCGTTGCAGGACGCCATCACCAAGCTGGAGTCCCAGGAACCATCAGACCAAGGATGCGAATCTTGGGTACATTCACACAACCCAACTGCAGAGCAAGCGGACCTACAGATGAGGAGAAACACCGGATCAACAAAGCTGCTCAGGTCATTCGGTGGGCGAGCTTGCTCCCACACAATACCTTCGAAAAGGCAGCTTTTGCCAAAGCAACTGGAATGGCACTTGCGGCTGCCCCCAGCTACAGCAGACTCCCAGCAGCAAAGAGCCTCAACCCACTCCGTTTGCTTATGGCAACACTACTATCAACAGTGGGGCACTATTTCGACTACTTGTTGGACACACAGCAGACCCTTATTACAGAATTGGCCACATCGTGACCAAGCACACCATCATGGCAGCTTCCAGGGATTCACATCTTCGGGCTATGTGGCCTACAAAGCAGACCCAGGGACCTATCATTGTCACCAAGCACTGGCTCCGTCGACAGGGCTGGACCAATGCAGGACCATGGAGATGGCGTCATGACCACGCTCACATCATCATCAATCTGAATGCTGCTGAACCTCGCAACCAGGAGTTCACCATCATCGACATCAACAATTTCAACGCTCAACTGCTTGGCCACCACTTGCGGGATGCTTGGCGAGCTCAACAGTGGCAATGCTTCTTGAAGTCGGCCAACAAGGCCGCTACCGCCTTGGCCAATTGGCAATTGGACCTGGCCTGAAGTGAGGCAACGCCATGTTGATCACAAGAGTTTGGAACTCGGCACCGATTCACTTGCGTACCCATATCAAAGCCATTGCTATTGGCCACTACGTGTCTCAGGCACGTATCAAGGTGACATCTCGACAACCAGTTGAAGCATGTCAATGGTGTTCGCACCCTTCACCCGACCGCAACCAAGAATATTGAGAATGCCCTACTCTCAGTCATGGACGTGGTGCTCCTGTCGATTTGCTCGAAAGCTGGCTTGCGTGGCCTTGCACGGGGAACTTTGACACCATTTTCAATCTCGCCCAGACGCGAGCCAGGGTCCTCAAGGCCCGACACACGCCGGACGCGTGAAGCGGCCGAGGTATTCCAGCTACCCCTTGTGCTTGGGTGCTGCAGCGCAAACTGGACTATATGTCGTTTCAATGATTCATGATTTCAGTGCTTCGTTGATTCATTGATTGATCGGTTCACTGTTCATTGTTTCACTGGTTCATGGATTCTTTGCTTCATGGGTTCATTCAGTCAGTTGCGCATGGAACCTTCCATGTCATTTTGTTGGCATCTCTGCCACCATTCGCTCATTCGTTGACGCGCCTCACAACTTCAACACTTCTTTGCCTTTTCATATCGAAAGCAATCCTGTGGTTTTTTTGATTTCTCATAGTCATGTTTTTTTCCTAAACTTTATACTAAATTTCTGCCCCGGTGCGGGCCGGGCAGTATCTGGTAAAAAGGAAGCTGTTTATGGCACAACCGTTCTTTTTCTGAGCAGTGGTGGAGGTAGAGAGCTATTGGGTTTGCGCCGTCTAGTACGCAGACCCCCACGCCTCTGCAGGACAATGGAGATGGCCAGATCACTTTGACTGAGTATTTTGTCGATGATTAGTCGGTTTGCTTCGTTTTTTCTTTTTTTGCTTTGTATAAACAAATTGCTGAACGGCGGTGACCCCTGGTCGACAGATCGTGCATTTTATAGCGATATGAATGAAACATGTATGTGCCCTCTCTATGTATGTATGTCATGATGTCCTGCCCTGTCCTGTCCTGTCATGTCGTGTCATGTCATGTCATGTGTGTGTATGTATGTATGCATGCATGCATGTATGTACGTGCGTGCATGCATGCATGTATGTAAGTATGTATGTATGTAAGTATGCATGCATGCATGCATGCATGTAATGTGTGTTTGCATGTATGTAATGTATGTAATGTATGTAATGTATGATATGTATTTTTTGTACGTTATGTATGTTATGTTTGTTGTGTATGTTATGTATGTTTTGTATGTTATGTATGTTATGTCGTGTATGTTATGTATGTTTTGTATGTTTTGTATGTTTTGCATGAGTATGTATGAGTATGTATGTATGTTGTGTATGTTATGTATGTTATGTTGTGTTATGTGAGTATGTATCTATGTATCTATGTATCTATGTATCTATGTACCTATGTATTGTATTGTATTGTAATGTATTGTATTGTGTTGTGTTGTATTGTGTTGTGTTGTATTGTATTGTGTTGTATTGTATTGTACCGTACTGTATTGTATTGTGTTGTAATGTAATGTATGTATGTATGTATGCATGCTAGGTATGTATGTGTGTAATGTGATGTGATGTGATGTAATGTACTGTAATGTAAGGTAAGTATGTGTGTATGTCTGTAATGTATGTAATGTATGTAATGTATGTAATGTATGTAATGCATGTAATGTATGTAATGTATGTAATGTATGTCATGTATGTAATGTATGTAATGTATGTAATGTATGCAATGTAAATGTAGGTCATGTATGTCATGTATGTCATGTATGTCATGTATGTCATGTATGTATGTATGTAAGTATGTATGTATGTATGTATGTGTGTATGTGTGTATGTGTGTATGTGTGTATGTGTGTATGTGTGTGTATGTGTATGTGTATGTGTATGTGTATGTGTGTATGTGTATGTGTATGTGTATGTATGTAGGTAGGTAGGTAGGTATGTATGTATGTAATGTATGTGTGTGTGTATGTATGTATGTATGTATGTATGTATGTATGTATGTATGTATGTATGTGTGTGTGTGTCTGTGTCTGTGTCTGTGTCTGTGTATGTATGTATGTATGTAGGTAGGTAGGTAGGTAGGTAGGTATGTATGTATGTATGTATGTATGTATGTATGTATGTAATGTGTGTGTATGTATGTAATGTATGTATGTATGTAATGTATGTAATGTATGGAATGTATGTAAGGTATGTAAGGTATGTAAGGTATGTAAGGTATGTATGTATGTATGTATGAATGTAATGTAATGTAATGTAATGTATGTATGTATGTATGTACGTATGTATGTATGTATGTATGCATGTATGTATGTATGTATGTATGTATGTATGTATAGACCCACATCAACATCCATGTATGAACAAGTGCTGCTTGCGAGGCCTAGAACAAATTGCACTTACAAATTGGGTTCATTGAGAAGTGAGAGGCACACATGATACATACACGTACATATTTGCATGATTTGTTGGACCCTCTAAGGACGGAAATTCCCATGCTATTAATCTAGGTCTTGAATACGTACCACCGCATATCCGCTTCCCAATTGAACAACGATTCGGCTTGGTGATAAATTGCAGTGCAGTTGTCAGGTTCATTGAAGGCTCTTCAAGATTGAAGGGTCATGCGAAAGCACTCGATGTGTTTCGCTTGGAGACAAAGATTGAGGCACCCAAATTGCTCAATTTGAAATTTGAAATCGCAATTGAACCCGAAACATCCCGAAACAATGCTGGTTCCCGAATGCGTAGCGAAGGGTTCTTGTTTTCTTTTTTGGGGGTCTGGGGGTGGTGGAGTTTTTGCGGGTCGTTTTCGTGCCGCGGGGCTCTAATTACGTCGCCGCGCTGTCTATGGGGAAAGTGAGAACAGGTGATGTGTTGTGACGTGTGAAAGTGCATTTCGCGTGGCAGGCGTGGGACTTTGTGGCACTCAAGCGAAAGTTGCTTTGCGGGGACGGGGAAAGTGAGAAAAGGTGATGTGTTGTGACGTGTGAAAGTGCATTGTGAAGTGGGAAGTGTGAAGTGTGCAGTGCGAAGTGTGGAGTGTGAAGTGGGAAGTGTCAAGTGTTGTGTGTGAAGTGTGGAGTGTGATGTGTGAAGTGTGGAGTGTGAAGTGTGAAGTGTGGAGTGCTGAGTGTGAAGTGTGGAGTGGAGAGTGTGAAGTGGGAGTGTGAAGTGTGGAGTGCGAGGTGTGGAGTGTGAAGTGTGAAGTGTGGTGTGTGAAGTGTGGAGTGTGGAATGCAGAGTGTGAAGTGTGAAGTGTGAAGTGAAGTGGAGTGGAGAAGTGAAGTGTGAAGTGGGCAGTGTGAAGTGTGAAGTGTGGAGTGTGAAGTGCAGAGTGTGGGCTGGAGAGCGTGAAGTGTGAAGTGTGGAGTGTGAAGTGTGCAGTGTCAGGTGTTCAGTGTGAAGTGTGGCGTGTGAAGTGTGGAGTGGAGAGTGTGGAGTGGAGAGTGTGAAGTGTGAAGTGTGGAGTGTGCAGTGTGATGGGGGAAGTGTGAAGTGTGGAGTGTGGAGTGTGAAGTGTGGAGTGGAGCGTGAAGTGAAGTGAAGTGTGAAGTGTGTAGTGTCAGGTGTGAAGAGTGAAGCGTGGAGTGTTGAGTGTGGAGTGTGAAGTGTGAAGTGTGGAGTGGAGAGTGTGAAGTGTTAAGTGTGAAGTGTGGAATTTGGAGTGTGTGAAGTGTGAAGTCTGGAGTGTGAAGTGTAGAGTGTGGAGTGGAGAGTGGAGAGTGTGAAGTGTGAAGTGTGGAGTGGAGAGTGTGAAGTGTGAAGTGTAGAGTGTGGAGTGGAGAGTGTGTTGTGTGGGGATTGTGAAGTGTGGAGTGTGAAGCGTGCAGTGTGCAGTGTGGAGTGTGGAGTGTGGAGTGTGAAGTGTGGAATGTGGAGTGTGAAGTGTGGAGTGGGAAGTGTGGAGTGTGGAGTGTGGAGTCCGGAGTGCGAAGTAACACTGAGAAGTGCGTTGTGCACGTTTTGTAGTACAAAGTAGTACTGGGAAGTGCTTTGTGCAAGATTTGTTGTACAAAGTAGTACTGGTCTGTGCAAGATTTGCAGTATCAAGTAGTAATGTGAGGTGCTGTGTGGACGGCTTGTAGTACAACGTAGTTCTGCGAGGTGTTCCAGATGTGTCAAGCAAGAGTGTCCAACAAGAGTGCCTTGCAAGAGTGTTTCAGAGTATTGAGAGAGAGTGTTTTACCAGAGTGTGCCACAAGAGTGTCAGCAAGAGTGTCTCACAAGAGTGTCCCACAAGAGTGCCCCGCAAGAGTATGCCACAAGAGTGTCACAAAAAAGTGTCCCACACGATTGTCTGAGAAAAGTGTCAAGCAAGTGTGTTCTGCAAGAGTGGTTTTTCATGCGATCCAGCATCTCCTGTTCGCTTTTCATTGTTCTGTAGGAACCCTTCTTCTACCTGAGCTTTTGAAAAATGCATTCGGGTTCGTGGTTTCTATCAGGTTTTGTTTTTTGTGACAGACAACATGTTTGGTTTGCTCACACAAAATACAATATGTTTGCAGAATAATACTTGTGTATGGAATACTTCAATACTGGGCACACTAGCGTTGTTCAATTGACTGGTGCTCGTTGGTTTGATTTATATATTTTGATTCGTTCTTCCTTTGCGACAGGTTTTATTCGAGGAGATTTTGCAGAAGATGCACAATGGTGCCCCACATTTGCTTACGGGGTGCATGGGGGTGTAGAGTGCAACTAGGTCTTCCTGCAGGCTCTCTTCACTGGATTCGTGCATACGAAGCAATCGGTTCGAAACACTTCTCAAACAGGAAACGTACCCAAACTACGCTTTCCAATCATTGTTGTTTTACTTTGGGTGATGGTTCTGATAGTCAAGTTTTGCACATGTATCAATTGATTTGACAAATCCAAGTGCAGCCAAATTCACTTTCCTACCTGTAGCTGGATGTCGGATACCCTCCAAACCGCGACCAAACAGTTGACATGTTAGACGCTGAACAAAAGATGGACATTTCTGGGCTTTTGATCTTCATGAAACATCAAAACCAATAAAACTGTCATGCCAAAGGGCGGAATGTTGGATTTCTAAAGCGTCATCTCAGATCTCTGCTTGGCAGTCATTCTTGCCCACAGAGTAACTCCAGCAACTCCATTGTTGGAGGGAATGAATCAATCCACCACTGGAAGTCTTGCTGTGTGAAGTTCCAATGATTCCAGATTTGTTCCTAATCTCCATTCGGTCCGACAGGTGCAGTCAAGGGCAGTCCTCGCACTGGTGTGGCATATATTATTTGTTCATTGACATGAGCTTTCCACATCTTTCCACATCCACTTGGGCCATTCTCCGATTTGTCTGAGGTGCAGATGCTTCCTCTTATGTACAGCGCGTGTTTGCCTCGTCCAACTACAAGCAGATGAAAGCAAACCTGGAGCGTGATCGAGAGCAGTAGCCACCAGCCCCAGAATGGTGTGTGTAGCCACCCGGTGTTTCCGTGGCCCATGATCGGATGAACTGTTGCCGCGCTTGGATGTGGAAATGGCAAAATTCAGTGAGAATGAGAATGGAATAAGAGAGGCCATATTTAAAAGATGTGATATGATATGACTCTTGACCTCATGACATTCTAATCATCTTGCAGATGCCCAGGATGTAAACAAGGCGATGCGAAGCATGACTCCATGACCTCAGAATGGATGGGGCAAACGGCCGCCCACAAATTCACTATCCCCAGAAATCCTCAAACTGCAAACTTTAAACGCACTCAGGTGGAGCTCGGGAAGCACTCTACAGATACTCAAATGGCACTCGATTGCCCAAATATAATCCAAAAATCGAGAGATTTTATTTTGGCATTTTGAGTGCCAATCGATTGTTGGGTGAGTGGATTTTATTGATCTGGGAAAAGCCTCGGGGAGCACTCGAAAGAGTGTTCGCCAATTTTTTTGCTCAAACGGGAAAAATGACGAATTCGTCACCTCCAAAAAAAAACACTCTAATCACACTCGATGACCAAAAAGGTCATGTCTTTCAAGTATATGACCAAAATCACTTCAATAGGGCCTCAACAGGGCCTCAAAGGGACCTCAAATGGGACTAGAATATAAAAAACCATAAACTTGATCAACACATATCAGATGCATGAACTGAACAGTAAAATGAAATTAGTTAAGTGACATTGCTTGATTATACACGTACAATTTTACAGGCCCAATCATGGAAATATGGTTCAATCATGAAAAAACACAACAAAACAAAAACAAAAAAACAATGAAACAACACAGAAAAAACAATGAACCGTAATGAAAATCACTGAAAAAACAATGAAAACCATTGAAAAAACAATGAAAACTAATGAACACCACTGAAAAAAAAACAAAATGAACAACATTCAATTGAACAAATGAAAAAACATTGAACAAACAATGAAAGTAATGAACATACATGAAAAAAGTAAAAATGAACAACCTTATATTTAAAAAAAACATTGAAAAAATGAAAGGTAATGAACATATCTGGAAAAAAATGAACACATTGAAAAAACAATGAAAAGTAATGAACATCTCTGGAAAAAACAAAAAACGCAATGAAAACACATCGAAAAAACAATGAAAAATAATGAACATCTCTGAACAAAAAAAATGACCAACCTTAAAAAAACAATGGTCAGAAATGGAAAAATCAAACACGAGATTTTTTTTTCCAGAGATTTTCATTCCTTTTCAATGTTTTTTCAATGTGTTTCATGTTTTTTTAAATTAAAGGTTGTTCATTTTTATTCTTTCTCAGAGATTTTCATTACTTTTTATTGTTTTTTTCATTTTTTTCATATTTTTTTTAAAGGTTGTTCATTTTTACTTTTTTCAGAGATTTTCATTACTTTTCACTGTTTCTTCAACGTTTTGTCATTGATTTTTTTCAATGTTTTTTTCATCGTTTTTTTTTCTCAGAGATTTTCATTACTTTTCATTGTTTTTTTTCCCATTTTTTTGAAAGTTATTTTCCAAGGTTTATCATTAGGTTTCGTTTTTTTTTTCAATGTTTTTCATTTTTTTTAAACATTTTTTTTTCATTTTTTGCCAGGGATTTTCATTATATACTTTTCATTGTTTTTTCAATGGGTTTTCATTGCCTTTTTTTGTTTTTTTTCAGTGATTTTCATTACTTTTCATTGTTTTCTTCAACGTTTTTCATTTTTTTAAATGTTGTACATTTATACTTTTTTTCAGGGATTTTCATTACTTTTCATTGTTTTTTTCAATGTGTTTCATTGTTTTTGATTATTTTCCCAAGGTTTCTCATTATTTTTCAGTGTTTTTCAATGGTTTTTCATTGTTTTTTCAAGGTTGTTCATTGTTTGTTTGGTATTGTTTTTGTCATTTTTATTTCATTAGTTTTCATTGTTTTTTTAAATGTTTTTTCATTTCATTATATTGTATCCTTTTTTTTATTTTTTTTTCATTAGTGTTCATTATTGTTCAATTGTGTTTTCATTGCTTTTCAACATTTTCATTATTTTTTTTTCAATATTTTTTTCAGTGTTCATTGTTTGTTTCAAGGTTTTCATTATGTTTTTTGTATCCCTCAATCTGATGTCAACCCTGCATTACATCACACTCAATTGGAATAATATTCTGATCCCAAAACAGACTCGACAGAAAACACATATCAATATAATTATGTCCTCCAAACAGTCTCAAATATCACTCAATTCCAGAACCTTAATAATCTTCTCTCAAAACATTGTTGATACTTAAACTTTACTCAAAATCATTGTCATTGTGTTTTTTGGTATCACTCAAACTGAACTCAAACCAGTCTTACATCACACTCAATTGGAAGAATATTTGGGTCTCAAAATACTGAAAACAAATACTCAAAACATTGTTGATACTTAAAAAATTACTCAAATCATTGTCATGTAGTTGTTATTGTGTTTTTTTGTATCACTCAAACTGAACTCAAATCAGCCTTAAATCACACTCAATTGGACGAATATTCTGGTCTCAAAATAGACTCGACAAAAAACATCTCTCAAACCAGCTTTTCCCCGAACAACCCAAAAAAACAAAAACACTCAAATCACACTCGATGCATTTTCTATTGAGAATATCGTTCAATTTTCATGTTTTGCAAAAACAGCCAAAAATCTTCAAACTGCACTCGGGGGCATATCGACAGCCACTCGATGTTTGTGGGCGGCCGTTTGCCCCCCCCCCCCGGATTGCTCTATTCTACTTTTTCGAGCGTTGTTTGCTGTCTACCACCTGCGGTACTTCTATTTTCTTCGCGGCTACGGTCGTTTGTTGTCATAGGTTGTGTGAGTGGCAAGACCTGGTAGTGCTGGGGTGAGATTTTTCTTTCTTTGTTGATGCTGTCTCAAACTTTGTCGGTGCAAGAGCGGAAACGCGTCCGATCCGGTGAGCCAAGCCTTGCTGCAAGAGCCGTGGAGAGTTGAAATCCATTGAAATCCTATTTCGATCATGGCACTCTCGGCCTGGGAACCGTCACTTGGCAAAGAACATCAGTTGGAAACAACGACAGGTCTGTTTCAAGACCCTCGCTGTACTCTTGTGGGCATCCCTTCTCACCTTGCTATGTCTAATTTCTACAATATATCATATATCAAATATATCTATAATTCTTCGTACATTGTCTACCGAAAAATCGTGGGTTGCGGCAAGCTGGTCACCACTGGGTGAGATCCACGAATTTGACCAGGTGAACCCAGTGTCTTTGTCAGCAGTTTTTTTTAGCCGCTAGACATAGTACGACTTCACGAACGACCCTGTGGGTCGATGCGCGACGCAGAGTGATGTTGGTAATGTTGGTAAATTTAACACCATTGGTAATGTCTGTTTCGTTTGGATTGAGTTGGAGCATGAGCATTGATCAGCCACCAGACACTGGACTGCCGAATGGCATCTTAGGCTGATCTGGTTTAGGGCACCTGCCCCGACAAACCAAACCGGGTCCAAGCAAACCCCAGAGTCTCCTGTCTTACTCGGCTCCAGGCATTGGGAAGAGAGGTTTTTGTAGGGGAATAGAAAATCAATCATCTTGGTATAGATGCTTCTATATTCAATCTTCTTGCGTGCGGTAGAACGGAAATAATACAAAATGCATCAAAATACAAAAACACATAGTAAGCACCAGTGTGGATGCACTGGACTGGACAGAGGTTTTACAGAATTAGTCACAGTTTCATAGCTCTTCTCAGTGCGATTGCGATGATTCAAAATTAATCATTTCTCAATTTCTGGCATTGCCCGGGTCATGGAGAGCTCTTACATAGCGTGGACCTGCGGTATCCGCTGCGAGCCAGTTGCTCAGCCAGAGCCAAGATATGGAGGACTTTCAGAAAGCCAAGGGATGGCCAGAGGTGCAAATCACATGTTTGTTATTTATCTCAACTAATCCCAACTCATCTCAACTTATTTTAACTCATGTCAACTCATCTCAACTCATCTAAACTTATCTGAACTCATCCCAACTTATCTCAACTTATCTCAACTCCTCCCGACTTATCAGAACTTATCTCAACTTATCTCAACTCATCCCCACTCATCTTAAGTCATCTCAACTCTTTTCAACTCATCTCAGCTTATCTCAACTCATCCCCACTCATCTTAAGTCATCTCAACTCTTTTCAACTCATCTCAACTTATCTCAACTCATCCCAACTTATCTCAACTCATGCCAACTCATTTCAACTTACCATAACTTATCTGAACTTATCTCAACTCATCTCAACTTAGCTTAACTCATATCAACTTATGTCAACTCATCCCCACTCATCTTAAGTCATCTCAACTCTTTTCAACTCATCTCAACTTATCTCAACTCATCCCAACCCATCTCAACTAATCTCAACTCATCTCAATGCATCTCAACTCATCTGAACTTATCTCAACTCATTCCAACTCATCTCAACTCATCTCAACTCATGTCAACTCATCTCAACTTTTCTTGTCTTATCTCAACTCATCTCAACTTATCTGAACTCATTTGAACTCATCTCAACTTATTTTAACTCATGTCAACTCATCTCAACTTATCTCAACTCATCTCAACTTATCCCAACTTATCTCAACTCATGCCAACTCATTTCAACTTACCACTTATCTGAACTTATCTCAACTCATCTCAACTTAGCTTAACTCATATCAACTTATCTCAACCTGTGAACTCATCTCAACTCATCTCAACTCATCTCAACTCATCTCAACTCATCTCAACTCATCTCAACTCATCTCAACTGATCTCAACTCATCCCAACTCATCTCAACTTATTTTAACTCATGTCAACTCATCTCAACTTACCTCAAGTCATCTCAACTCATCTCAACTCGTCTCAACTCATGTCAGCTCATCTCCAATTTGTCTCAACTTATCTAAGGTATCTCTGCTGGCGATATCTTGTGCTCTGTATCTTGTGTGGTGGTGATATTCCAAGTTGGTTGTTTTACCTTATCCGAAATTTATGTCCTCTTAATTCTTCGGATCCGAGCCAGTTCAAGAATTGGAGACCCCGAAGTCTGATCACGGAAGGTTGAAGGACATTTTAGTATCAGTATATATACTGTATGACGGGAAAGGAATGGAAATGGGTCCGAAAGGCACCTGCATGGTGGGTTCTGACCTGGCTCGCAGCCCACATGCTCAGCTAGTGAAACGGAAAGCGAACTGCTGTCACAAGAAGTGTTCTTACTTACTTTTTTGTCTCTTTCGGAGGGACCCTGTGACTCTGATTGGACAAGTTGATTTTACTTTCCTGGTTGAGCCGAACTTTCCATCGTCTCGAATAAGACATGCAATGGAACTGCTTTCGCATCAATTTGCGAACGATGATAGGCAATCCTGAGAGTTGCTTCCGTTTCAGAAGGCCATAGCCGTGTGACTGAGTAACGGTGAGTAACGACGAACCCGCTGACTCAGCCATTCAGCCCATGGGTGGACTTCCCAGATCAAGGCTGATTGTCCGACTGTCAGAAGGCGTGTTGGAAGCGGCTGAGAGTCAGGGAAAGGATGAAAAATATGCAAGTGCAGCAGCTACTTGGGAGGCTTGGAATCCTTTGGAACCGAGCTTTGAAGTGTTTTAGGTCCTGTGCTGTCATGGCTCTGGGACTGTCTTGCTGGATTAGCCAATCAAGGTCCCTGTTTTGTGAATTTCCCTCACAGGAGCCATGAACTTCTAAGGACGTATACCAGTAGTACTGCACAAGGCGGCGGCGGAAGTTTCAAAAATAGGAAACCTATAGGGGAGGTTGGTTGTTGTGAATCACGGATGGCAGAGCGAATCCACTGATGGACCGAAAGGTGGTTGGAGTTGTGTTTTTTGGAGTGGTTGCAATGGTTGCAGTGGTCACCTCACCACAACTGTTGGATGTAGTGTGGTGTAGTGCAGTTGTAGTTGTAGTTGTAGTGTAGTGTAGTGGAGTTGTAGTTGTAAGTTGTAGTTCTACTGTGATGTAATTAGTGTAGTGTAGTTGCAGTTGAAGTTGCAGTTGTGGTTGTGGTGTGGTGTAATTAGTGTAGTATATTGTAGTGTATTGTAGTGTACTGTAGTGTTGTGTACTGTAGTGTGGTATAGCGTAGTGTAGTCTAGTGTAGTGTTGTGTAAAGTAGTGTTGTTGTAGTTGTAGTGTATTGTAATTAGTGTAGTGTAGCGTGTTGCAATGTAGTGGTACTTGTAATTGTAGTTGCAGTTGTAGATGTAGCGTAATGTAATGTAATTAGTGTAGTGTAGTGTTGTGTAATGTAGTGTAGTAGTTGTAGTTGCATGTGTATTTGTAGTTGTAGTGTGCTGCGGTGTAGTGTAATGTAGTGTAATGTAGCGTAGCTGTAATTGTAGTTGTAGATTTGGTAGTAGTAGTAGTAGTAGTAGTAATAGTAGTAGTAGTAGTAGTCGTGGTGGTAGTAGTAGTAGTAGTAGTAGTAGTACTAGTTGTTGTTGTTGTTGTTGTTGTTGTTGTTGTTGTTGTTGTTGTTGTTGTTGTTGTTGTTGTTGTTGTTGTTGTTGTACTTGTAGTAGTTGTTGTAGCTGTAGCTGTAGCTGTAGTTGTAGTTGTCCGTCTATCTACCTAACCTATCTACATATCTATCAATCAATCTATCAATCAACCAATCAATCAATCAATCTATCTGTTTGTTTGCCTGTCTGTGTCTGTCTGTGTCTGTCTGTGTCTGTCTGTGTCTGTCTGTGTCTGTCTGTGTCTGTCTGTGTCTGTCTGTGTCTGTCTGTGTCTGTCTGTCTGTGTCTGTCTGTCTGTCTGTGTCTGTCTGTCTGTCTGTCTGTCTATCTGCAAGCTTGAAGACGAAGCTATTCTGCGAGACTTCCTCAGTTTTTGAACTTGACAACGTCAAAAACGCAGCAATTCAGCGAGACTTCCTCAATTTTTGCAGTTGACAACGTCAGAAACGAAGCAATTCTGCGAGACTTCCTCAATTTTTTAAGTTGACAACATCAAAAACGAAGCAATTCTGCGAGACGTCCTTCAAAAATGGAAAGTTGAGTGCAGAGCTGACGGCCTCGTAACAATGCGTTTTGTGATTTTTCCACTCCATCTGTCTAAACTACTGCGCGCCACAACGGCGTGCAATTTTGCATCTCTCATCTGCCCAGCGGGCTCTGCACCCGCCGCTTTAGCGAGCCTACTTTTCGACCCTCCGGAGCCACAAATCATTTGAAAAACGCAGTGTTTCGCGACTTTCCTACCTTTTCGTGCACCTAGATCTTCTTTCTTCTTCTCTTCTCTTCACTGACTCTTCCCATCTCTGCTTTTCATCTGTCCATATTGTCGGAAGTTTGACTTGTAAACTTCCTTCGATCATATCCATATGTTCCCAGCAGCAGTGCTTGTTGGGATTCAATCTCTGGGTATGGGACTGGGGCATCACGAATTCAAGGCGCACGAAACTGGAATGCAACCCCGAAACCTGAACCTTTGCTGCTGTTGGGCTAATATATTACATTACAATACATTGCATATCGACTATGATTTGCGTGGTAAGCATAAACGCATCATTTGTATATTTCAACTTAATATTCAAGCTGGTGCGAGTTTCTTTGCTTGTTCCTATTTCCAGTTTTTCTGCTTCCTTGGCACCTTCAACACTGATAGTGGTAGTGGAGTCGAGTTAGCACAAAGCAGCATGCAGAAACCTGATTGCTTGTAGGATAGCGATGAGGTGGCTGATCTTAATGGACAGTATATAATGAACCCTGCAGCTTCGGGTAAGTTCGGAAGGGGCCAACTGGAAAACCAGGAAAATGTGGCTTAAAGATGCTTAAAGCCGTAGAAATCCAAAATCATACGGCAATAATCCTCCTTTTGAGCAAGAAATGATCATATGGTACTGGTCGGTTGGGTTGATTCTTGTCATGCTCCAGCTTCTGATGCATTCCGTAGTCCATGGGCAAACATGGTGCGAGCAACCCCTCAACATCTACCAGGGTACAGCTTCTACTTAGTGCACTTGACCGCGGTGCCATGTGGCGCAGTCTTTGTGCTGTGTTGGTGGCCTTGCTAGCGTGCCTTTTTGGCTTGTTGACTTTCCTGGTGGATCCGTGGATCACTGATCCACCTAGACATCATCAGGCAGGGCCTATCAACGTGGGTCCATTGGGTGGATCGCTTGATGTTGTCCCGCTTGTAGTTGGTATTGCTGTAGAGATAAACCGCTGCTGCAGGTAGATGTCAGGACTGCGACAGACTATGCAGTCACAGCAGATCAGACCGGAAAGTTGCCTGTTCCCTGGCAGGGATAATGAGCGGCCCCGGAATTGCCTGGACACGGTTTTTTCTTTTAGCGAGATTTGTCAAACATTCTGCGACAAAGATTTCCAATGATTTAAGCGAGGTGTAGCATCCTTGGGAAACTCGAAGTTTTGACAGCCCGCTCCAGGTTTTGCTGCTGATGACCGAAGCAGTGAACGCTGCCATGGTGACGCATGCTCTGCTCGTGGCCGACGCTGCAAGGCCTTTTTTCCAGGTCCACCTTGCCTCGTTTGGAGGAGCAGTGTAGCTGGGTGAAGCCCCTGGTGCCAAGGTGGATGCCATTGAAACCCAAAGTGAAGCTTTGCACAAATGTGCTGAAGCACTTAGACTCTAGCGACCGGATGAGTGGTTGTTGTGAAAAAACATGAATATAGTCAGACAACTTCCATCGTAGTATCAAGATGCGTGATACAGGTTATTTGGTGATTGTTTCTCTGCCTTACAGGCACGTCACTTTCAAGGGGTCACTATATCAGGCCTGAGAAATAAGATGGCACGACTTTAAGTCATGACCAGGAGCTTATGCCAAGCTTTTGGAAGAGTCCGGGTTTGCGTACCATGTCTTGAGTCCCGTGTGGACAGAAGAGCAAACGGCCGCAATTTACGCTGTGGATCAATTCGAGTCCTTCTCCAGCCCTTACACCAAAGAGGCGAACATGAGCCATTCCAGAGAGAGCTCATTGCTTTTGCTCATCGGTTCAGAAGTTTACCATATTAGTTTTCTGCAAATCACAGAACAAAATCAATGACCTGTTTTACATCGAGAAATATGGGCTTCCGCTTCTTCCTTTGTTTGCGGTCCTTGGCGCTCTCTGCAGGTTCTTCAAGAACAGATCTCATCCTCGCTGCAGCTCTACTCAAAGATTGCTCCCAGTGCAGTGGTGGCGTTCTTTGTCCTTTCAGCCAGCATTTCAGCTCGCATTGCGCGGCTGCCACTCTTCGTTGACATGCACCTGGTCAGAAGACGTTCTCATCACCCTGACAGCACTTCTGCTTTCCTGTATATACATGCACACGCACATCATCCAAACAGAATAGATCAATGGATTCAAAGATGGATTTTGAATAGAAACGGTTCACGTCTCCTCGAGATGGCACAGACTTTGGATGGTGAAAGGATGCCCATTAAACTGGTCCTAAAAGCAACGGGCTCCTGAGAAAATTTGGATCCATACACTGTACTGTCCTGAAGGTTTATCCTTACAATATATTTTTTGTGTGCAATCATTCCAGTGTGCCACCAGGAGCATGACAAGAGAAACTTCCACAGATCCCCGAGCCATTGCAGTCTCCATGCCTGACAGCGGAGTCGTCGCCAAGTTGGGGCTCAGAACTCCTCTGTGACCTGGTTGCAAAATTTCAGGATGGTGGGATGAACATCCACCAGGATTTAGGGTGTTCAGAAGGGTTCTAACCAAGAACCAGCCACTACCTTATCTACCTTGCTTGCAAACGATGCAAATTTAGCACTTTCAAAAACTTCAGTATTTGTGGAACCATATGAGTCGCGTGGAATCTTTTGCGGTGTGAAGTCGTCCATATGTTGAACTACGAAATGGTAGTACCACTTTACCATGCAAGAAATGGCCAGTCCCGACTGTCTGATCGAAGTGCTTTCGCCTTACTTGCCCGCAGATTTTTTCATGGAATTGGCTCCTTGTCAGACATGGTATATATATATATATTTACACACTAACCAGCATGATGCAGAAGCAACAGTGGAATCATAGGCCCCTGACAATGAAACCCAACAATTTGGATATACATAGATTATCCATAGATCTGGGTAAATTATAACGACCTCACTGCGACCTCACTGGAATCATGGCTAGTAAGGGAAATCATCCCCAAATGGCCTTAATTCAGGTTAGTGAAATATATTTTAAATTATAATTTACCCAGATAGATATTGTAGAACCCCCGTTTGGCTTAAGACTGCTTTTACCGTTTTGGTGCAGGAGGGGGGGGGTATTGGTGCACGGCTGGTGCGCGGAAAAGGAAAATAGGGGCAAGGGTGGGTCTGGGAAGGGAAAAATAGGTGCGGGAGTGGGTTCTTGCCAATCTATGGATCCAGTCAGGATTCCGTCGGGACCCAGTCGGGCACCAATTTTTGCATTTTTGGGCACCGCTTTTGGCCAGTCGGGATCCAGTCGGGATCCAGTCGGGATCCAGTCGGGATCCAGTCGGGCACCAATGTCGGGAGGCAGCCAAATTCATAAAAAATAGCATTTTTGCAGTGTTTTTGCATGTTTTTGGGTGATTTTGGCTGCTTCCCGACAGGTCCAAACGTGGTGCCAAAAATTCGAAAATTGGTGCCCGACTGGATCCCGACTGGATCCCGACTGGCCAAAAGCGGTGCCCAAAAATGCAAAAATTGGTGCCCGATTGGGTCCCGACTGGGTCCCGACTGGGTCCCGACTGGATCCCGACCCGGTTTCTTCAAAAAAACACCTATTTCCTTAAATTTGAGCACCTATTTTTGAAATTTTAGCACCTTGCCGTGCACCACCCCTTCCCTCCGTTTCCCCCCCCCCCCCCCCCTCCCCCCCCCACCAGTCTTAAGCCAAACCGGGCTTGGCAAGATAGATATACATAGATATACTGTTTCTGACCAGGATGATTTCAATCCACGCAACACTGCACAAAGCTAGCGCAGCAGAGACTTCCTTTGTCGGAGGCCTCTTTGGTGGATTGGAACCTGCGAGAACTCATGAGAATCATCCCAGAAGTTCCCAAACGAGAAAAGGCCAATATTCTTACCCTCTTGGACGGGATTTATTCATCACTGCGATGGCCAATTACTTTTGAACATAGATGAATAGTTTCCGAAGCTCTTTACGAGGTCGCACATGGCGTCGTGGCTCATGAAACGACTCAATTTCATCACGCCGGCATTTGAAGCTGTGGCAAGGGAGTGGAACATCACTGGCATCCACCTGGTGTGCTGTTTGCACGATGGGGAAGGGGTGTGATGGATGTGGCTGTTTGTCATCGCCCAAACAACAGCCCTGTGTGTAGCGGTGCTTTGACCATCAAGAGATGTGGATGATTGAATCGATGGCTGTCCAACGGGGGGATTCTCATTCTTTTTCAACTTCTCTGACTTCAGCTGAAGATTTTGCAGAGCAGGTCTGGGATCTGATGGAGGGTGACTACACAGTGATTTCAGATATCCCCTCTTGGGCTGGTGTGGATGCTGCAGCCTTGCCACCACAGGCTCCGGGATTCAACCTTTGGTGTTTAGGTGAGGTACCAGGTAGCATTTGG